GCTAGCGGTTTGGACCCTAACCGTTATTCGCTAATCTTAAACCGCTAAATAAAAATTTTACCAAACACTTTATTTTTAGTGATTTTGAAATATATAAATTTACCAAACACCTATATTTAGCAATTTAGGTAAAACCACTAACCGCTATCCCAAAACCGCTATACCAAACACGGCCATAATCCACAAAAAGGACATGTGTGAAGGAAGGCCCATTTCTAGATGCTTTGAGGGGTTTCCCATTACTAGGTTGACATTTGTTTAGCAAGAAAGGAGAAGTGATCCATGCATAGACTAAAAATGTATGGAGAACTAAGGTTACCTTGATGGATGCCATGAGATAGGAAAAATTCATTAGTTAGTGATCCATTGATGGAAATGGAGGTAAATGTGGCACAAATGCATGACAAGATCATTTTGACCCATAACGGAGGGAAGTCAAAATGGCTAAGGTAATTTTTTATGAAATCCTATTTGAGACTATCAAAAGCCTTATTGAGATCAATTTTTATTGCCATTTCTCTCACTCCCTTTGTTTTTTTGCATGGCAAAAACAATTTCCTAGGTAATAATGGCATTATCCACTACCATTTACCCTGAAATGAAGCTAGATTGAAAGGTGCTGATAAGTTCATCAAGGAATGGTCAAAATCTAATAACTAAAAGCTTAGTGTAAAGCTTGTACGAGGTATTACATAAGCTAATGGGGCAAAAGTGGGAGACCATGGTTGGATTTTGGATTTTAGATTTTGGGAATGGAAGTGATAATTATTTGGTAGAAATTTGTAGGGAGCAAGCCTGTGGTAAAGAAGGAGGCAACTGTATCGCAGATGATGTTTAAGTGGAGGAATAAAATTTCTTTAAGAAAATAGCATGCAGGCCATCTTTACTTAGAGCCTTAAAAGGGTGAAAAGATTTAAGAACCTTTAAGATTTCCCTTTCAGAAGGGATTGAACAAAATGTGGGACAATTAATAAAAGAAAGGTGTGAAGGGTTCTAATTGGTGTTAAGATCAGAATTAAAGGGGCAACAAAGTTTTGTAGATATATACAATTGTTGAAAGGAATTAGTAATGAAATTACTAATATCCAAAGGAGAGGAAAGTTCATTTTTATTATTATCAAGAATGGAGAGAATCCTATTGGATTTCCTTCTTGAGATGGCATTGAGATGGAAGAATCTTATGTTAGAATCACCTTCATTGAGCTAGGTAATTCTAGACATCATTTTCCATAGATCTTCCTTTTTAAGAAGAATAGATTGGTATTCCAAAACTAGATCCTAGTGAAGAAGGAGGAGGTTATGGGAGTTATGAGAGGATAAGGCCTTTTCAATTCCTTTTGGTCTTGCTAGGATCCACTTTTTCCTTTTAAACACATTTACAAAAACATGTTTGTTCCAAGAGGACAAGAAAGAGCCAAAGCTAAATAATGCTTAACTAAGAGGTAGTGGGAGAAAAAAAGGATGGGATAGTGGTTAGAATGAGTTTTTGCAAGATGTTTAATCAAGGCATCAAGATAGACAAGGTTCCAAGAAGGGTTAGCAAAAGCTCGATCAAGCCTTACTTGAATAAGTTGAGATATAGGCCTTCTATTGGACCATGTAAATTTGGGTCCAGTAAATCCCAAATCAAGCATGCTACAAAAGTCAAGACAAACATTACAAATTCTAGCTTTATGTTGAGAAATTGGTTTCCCACCCTTTTTATCATTACTAGTAAGCTTCTCATTACAATCTCTAATCATAAGGCATGGTGAATTAAGAGTAAAAACAACAGAAAAAATAGAACACAAATTATCCCATGATGAGCTAAATTCACTCTAACAAGAGTACTAGTCAATTCAAGTAATAAAATGATGAGAATAGAGTATCATTCCACAGAGACTGTAGACTAATTAAGTACAAAAAAAATCAATTCTAATTTTATTTAAACAATCGAAATTAAATGATTTGAATAAAGTAATTAACTAAAACAAATTTAAATTAATGTACTTCCAAGGTATTTATTATTCATGTGACAGTGGGATTTCCTATTTTATTTAATATACTTTCTCAAGTTATATCAAATCTATCTTCTTCTATTAACCTACTATATCTCTATGTGAATTTAAATAGATAAACATGCATTATAATTTATGAAATTCTCTAGTTTACATAGAAAATTAAATCTATTTATCACTAATGCTACATGAATCATGTTGGTCCATATCTAGCTTTTGTTCAATTCATGGCATATATTACTAGAAGTTATTGCATCAAATCTCCTCTCAGTCTCAATTATGCTCTCCAAATTAGTTTTAATGGTGGCCAATCAATTAAAAATATTAAAAACAATAATATATATTCTACATAAAACAATAAACTTTGAAAGTTTAAAAATCATGAAATTCTATATCAAATTGATCAGGCTAAATTGTAGTCTTAGATGACTAAATTAGTTCATAATTAAAGAAAAGAAAATCAACAATCCCATAATTAATATATGAGTATCCAATATCATAAAAAAAATTCAAAGATAGGTAAAACCAGTTTGATGATATAAGATTTCAAGTCTTAATTTTCTTTTGTTGTTGAATTCTTCTTAGTCACCTTTCTTGGTCTTCCCTCAAAAGCCCTAAATTTGATTTTTGGATGGATATTTGTAGAGTTTAAGAAACCCTATTAGAAAAGAAGTAGGACTTGAGACTGAACAAGAAACTTCAATTATGGATGCTTAACGCATGGTGCTGATGTCATAACTCAAAATTTTTAAATTGGAAATTTATTTTTATTTTAGTTTGTATCTTAATTAATATGTTTGGTTTTTACTTTCATTATTAGGTTTGCAAGCAAAAGGAAATTTCGCAAAAAAGTGGGAGAAGAAGAAAGAAAGGACTCAATTGAAGAAATCAAAAGTTGGGGGATGAAATCCTTTAAGCTATAAATCTAGCCTATTAAAACCAAGCCCACCAACTACCCAAACCCAATTATCCAAAAACCCAAAAAACCCAAAACCCATTTAACCCAAACTAAAAAAACCACAAAGAAGAAGGAGGGAAATAAACAAAAAAATAAAAGGGGATCTCGAACCTTCTTCTTCTTCATCGACCTTCAGCCTCCACCCACCCTCTGCACGAACTAGCCTCCACCCCCCTCCCCTCTGCATCAATCTCCAGCTTCCTCTCCCCTCTGCACCGCGGTAGCCTTGTTCAGCACCCGAGCCTTCCTCTACACCAGATCCCCTCGCCTCTGTGCCCAGATCTCCTCCCCTCTGTTGCCCTACTCCCCTCCCCTCCTCTGCGCCTCTACTTCCGACAATCATGCCCTTGCACGCCCGAGCCATCATCAGCAATCATACACCCCTATACCGCTTGCTTGCTGTAGCCCGATCCTGCACCCCAATCCCGCGCCTCTACCCTCCTGCTCGTTGCAACCATGTCCCTGCCTCACCTACAGAAAAAATAGCCAATACTAGACAAAATTGGCATCATTAGTGATTGATTGAGCAAGGCTTTTTCATTTTTATTTTATTTTGGTGTTTGGGTATATATATAGAGCAAAAAGCAGAGTACAGGGAGGTCTGGGGGGTTGATTTTCGAGTTTGTTTTGGGTTTTTTTGGATTCTGGTTCTTCTCTATGTTTCATTTTCTTCTTGTCATTGTGAAAAAAAAAAAAAAAGAGAAAAAGAGAGACGTGTAATTGCACCAAACCAAAAGTCCTTCTTCAGTCCGCGCCTACACTCCAAGATGACCTGCAAAGCCCCGAGGTGGAACTCGGGGTAGACACTCCGATGCTTAAGTCAGCAATAATCGGGACTACTCTTAGGGCGGAGATAAAAAGAGCTTAGGGTTGGTTTCAATTACTTTTTTATGTGGCCCAAGGGGTATTTATAAGATCCAATGAGGAACCCACGTGGCATGCCAAGCAAGATATTCGGGATCTGATGTGTATCTCCAAATGGTTATTTCGGGACTGAGAAATTGAGAGATATTCCAATGGAGGATGCCTATCATAACCGCTATGTAGCTCATCATAAGGAATCAGGTGTGGGCCTGCTCATTGTTACTGTCATGCAGCTATTTGAGCGGGAAGCTCTGGGTTTATCCTTCACTTCAGTCATAAAGGAATTACTGTAGCAGTTCGAGGCTTGGCACCTCGGACCTGTCCTTACACTATTCCCCCCCCCCCAAGTCATTCACTTGTGAATGATGTTGTTGGGGAAGAATGAGGGGAATACATAAACAAAGAGAATTACAGATAAATCATAGAAGTAAGAGGAAATAAAATTTGTAACTCAAATGCATACATAGTCGTGTGCGATAAGAAGAGAGTGTGACCAGAATGATCGTGGTCGTAGATATGGTAAAAATAATGATCGGAGTCAATGTGGCCATAGCCATAGTAAGGGATGATGACCGAAGTCATGGTGGCCAGAGCCATGATAAAAAATGATGACCAGAGTCATAATGGCCGGAGCCGTGATAAAGAATGATGACCGCAGTCATAATGGCCGGAGCCGTGGTAGAATATGTGACATGTAGTCACAGTAACCAGAGCCGAAGTAAAGCACATGTCTCTATGGCCAGAGCCGGAGTGAGGCATGTTGCACTAAGTCACTGTGGCCATAACAGAAGCGAAACACTTTGCAGGTTAAAAAAGTGTAATATAAAAATAAACAGAATTGTTGAGTTAGGCTTAGGTGTAGAGATGGGGGTTATAATGGCCGGAGCCGTAATAATAAAATATAATGACTGAGGTCGTAATGGCCGGAGCCATAATAAAATATAATGACCGAGGTCGATGTGAAACATGTAATGCAGGATCGTTGTGGCCGGAGCCGAGGTGAAACACTTGCAAAAATTGAAAATGTGCAAAAGTGAACGAAGATGTTGAAATGGGCGTAAGTGGGCCCATCTGAAAAATCTGACAGTTGTCCTTGGGATGACGTGTGCAATAAATGCAGCCGTAAAAAGATAACTGCAACAGGTAAACGGGCAACTTTTAAAAAATGAACCGTCGAATTCAAAACGGTGCCGTTTAGGGTTGGCCGTTGAATTCCAAACGGTGTTAATAGGAACCGTAAGATTAAACGAATCTCAGTCGTTGAGATCTAATTTTGCCCAAAAGTATAAATAGACATTTTTTCTGCAGAGAGAGGTTTACTTGAATTTCTTTTCCTGCAAAACTTCTGCGAAAAGCTTTACTATGCGTTTCCTGTTCGTGAACTACGACGTCAACTGGGGACCTCTACATCAAGCCTTTCGAAACCGAAATCAGGTAATGTATGACGAACCTCTGATTTTGAGTTTAATCGAAGTGTCTCTCTCCTTTCTCCCTTTCTATGATTGATTTAAAGTCCTTAGAAGGAAGTTAGGGTTAAAGGTGAGGAGGATTTTGAATGTGCAACAAAAGGGGTTTTTTTTTTTTTTTTGGGGGATCTTGATTTATTCCTCCCCCTTACTTCGTGCAGAGTTTGAGAAAATGTCGTCAGAAAAAACACAAAGTATAGTAGGGAGTGAGGTGATGCCTCTGGACTATGGGAGCATGGACTCAGAGAGTAGTCCCTCTCCTTCTAGTTCATAGAAAACGGTGGAAGGGGTGAGAAGGGATGAGGTGATAGAGGTAGGGGAGGAAGAGGTAGTAGAGGTTGGGGGTAATGAGGTGGTAGGGGTTGGAGGAGGTAGCATACCCATAACCGTAGTAGAAGTAGAGGGTAGAGGCGAGAGGGATTATGATGTGAACGCCGAGATAGTGGAAGAGGTGCAGCAGTATAGGTCTGAACTAAGGATCAGGGATAGCCTGGGTCACTTAGTGGAAAATTACGAGATCTCTTCTCGAGTGCTGGTTAGGCCAGCTGGGGTAGAGGAGAGAGCGTGTTCTGCTCCTCAGGACCATTGGATGCCCATATATTCTCACTATCTGATAGCAGGATTGAGGTTTCCAATTCCTGAGTTGCTAGTAGGATTGTTATTAGATTACAATATAGGGTTGACACAATTAGTCCCCAATGCGGTGAGGGTAACAATAGGATTTTTAGTCTATTGCCGAGCTAAGGGGATTAGTGTGCCAACTGTAAATATGTTTAAGTATTTTTTTTGTTTTAAAGGGGGGTAGTAGGAGGGATAAGGGGTGGTATTATTTTACCCCAAGGGTAGCCAATAGGGAGAGTAGGTCTTTATTCACAACAGGTCCTTCATCCATTAAAGGATGGAAGGAAAAATTATTTTTGGCGGATGATACGGAGTGGGGGAGAGGAGATGCCGAAGTGAGGGAGCTAGCCTCCTAGAAGGCTAAAAGGGCCAAACAGAATAGGTTTAGTTTGAATGAGGATGAGGAGGAAGAAGTGAGGAGGTTGGTGAGGAAGAGAGGGGATTTACTGAACATAATGGACCTCACCAGCGCACAATGCATAGAAGCTGCTGAGCTCTATGGGCCAAGCACTTTGAGTGAAGGTTGGTTTGATTCTGCATTGTAGTACTGAATGCAAAATATAGAACAGTGATTAATATTGTGTATTCTTGCTTTGCAGCTGAAATGGACCAGTTTTTAAACACTGCTGGAGGAGCGGCCATCCCCAAGAAGCCAAGGAAGAAGTTAAAGACTTCAACCAAGCAAGTGGATGAGGGGAGGGCGAGGAAGGAGGTAGTGCCCATGACTTCAGCTGAGGCGGAGGAGGAGGTGCCACAGTTGAAGAGGAAGGGGTGGGAGGAGAGGAGGGCACTGCAGAAGAAGCAGAAGGTGGTGGAGGAGGAGACGAGGAATGAGGTCCCTCTGTTCGTACCTCGGCCTTCTCCTGTTGAGTTGGACCCTGAGCTCAGACAGTTGGAGGAGGGGGCTGAGGTACGAGCTCCTGGTAAGGGAAAGGGCCCTGTTCCCCCACTAGGGCCTCAGAGCAACCTGTTCGAGGCGAAGAACATAACGGGGGCTAGGTGGTTCATCAACAACACCTTCCCCGAAGTGGACAGATGCAACGTGCGGGAGGAAGCTCTGAGGTATGGTGGAGCGTCTGTGGTGAAGCACGTTCTAGAGGTATGTTAAAGTATTGATGTTGTTTAGTGAATCTGTTTCGCCTTCTCTTCGTTCTGCCTTAACCTCGGCTTTGATCTGCAGAGCGCGAGCCGGGTGAATGGTCTAGCCCAGGAATTCAGGGAGAGCCTGAAGGAGCGCTCACTCTTGTAAAGGCAGTGTGACCAGCTGTAGAAGGAGAAGAAGGAGTTGGAGAAAAGAAACAAAGAACTGCAAGAGTCGCTAAACGAGGTGGTTCCAACTGTGAAGCAGTTGGAGCAGGAAAGGGCTTCCCTGAGCACCAAGCTCGTCTTTGAGGAAAGCAAACGAAGGATCTCCGAAAGCGAGCGTGAGGCTCAGGCGCAAGAACTAAAGCTGATGACGGAGGCTTTCTTGGAGCTGAAGGAGAATGTGCAGACCTTGGTGCATAATGGAATGAAGGAGCACATCAGCAACTTCATCAGCTCCAGCTCGTTTGAACATCGTCAACTTATATCGGCTGCCCACTGCCATCATTGCATTCACGGATTGCAGGAAGAAGGTGAAGGCAGAATATCCCAAAGTGGATATTACGAAGATCACCTTCGGAGAGCAAGAAGAAGGAGTGGAGGAAGACAGTGAAAGCATGTCAGCAGACTTCCATCCTCAGATCAAACTGAGGTGGGAGCATGATGCAAATGGACGTGCTATTTTCCCTCCACAGTTCAACTTTGAGTTCGTTGCAGTGGGGGAAGAAGGGGCAGAGGTAGAGGAAGACGAGATGGAGGCAGGAGTGGAGGGAGCTGAAGTGGATGAGAGCCAACCAGTTCCAAAAGTGGAGATTCATTCAGTTCCCTCCGACGATGAGCAGCCTCCTCTGCCAGACGAGCAGCAGCCAACACAGCCACCTCCTCCAGCTGAGTAGGAGCCAGTGGAGCCACCTCCTCCAGCTGAGTAGGAGCCAGTGGAGCCACCTCCTCCAGCTGAGTAGGAGCCAGTGGAGCCACCTCTCCCAGCGGAGAAATAATTTTATTCTTTAATTTTTTGTAAAAACATTTAGACAGTTTGTAACACTGTTATTTTGTTAAATGAAATTATATGTTTGTTTATGTTTGGTTTATATTTTTGTTATTTTTTATTAATAGAAGGAACTAAGAGTACTTGAGACATGATTTGAAAGAAGGCTAACCACTTCAGAAATAAACAAAATGGAAGTAAATCACTTCAGACGAATTACAAAGAAGTAAATCACTTCAGAGAAATTGAGAACAAGGACATTGTTGGCAAATGAATTAAAAGGAAATAAAGCACTTCGTATGTGAAGTGACATTTATTAATCAGAGGTGAGGTTTCAAGGAATGAAAGAACTAATTGACCTCGGGTACATAGAATAAGAAGTAAAATGAATCTCAACAAACACGAAGTGAGAAGCGTAAAGAACAGTAAGACATAGAGCACTTGAAAGAATTTTATTAGGGGTAAAATTTCTTCAAGTTATTGACATTCCAGACTCTAGGAACTCTCTTTCCTTCAGCTTCTTGGAGGACATAGGCACAAGGATGTGGCACCTCGACCACGACATAAGGGCCTTCCCAATTCAGGGCGAGTTTGCCAAAACGAGTTTCAAACCCTGTTAGGCCAGCTTTTCTGAGAACAAGGTCTCCTACTTTGAATGTTCGAGGGCGGACTCATTTATTGTAGAAGTTGGCTAGTTTCTGCTTGTATACAAGAGTTCGAAGCCGAGCTTCTTCTCTAACTTCGGCAAGCAGATCAAGGTTTTCCCGAAGCAGTTGTCCATTTCGTCCTTCATCGAAATGGATGACCCGGAAGCTTGGGACTCCTATTTCAACGAGAATGACTGCTTCGGTGCCATAGGCCAAGTGGTAGGGTGCTTCACCTATTTCAGTTAGGTATAGGTTTAGAATACGCTTTATGCATTATGCATATTTGCTCTAAGGTAAAGCGTAACAGAAGAAGTAAAATAATATAGAAATTAATCAAATAGACTTGGTTTAAAGTGGTACCTGTGGCAGTTCGGCTCATGGTTCTGTATGCCCAAAGGACGTTGTTGAGCTCGTCTGCCCACTTGGCCTTATGCTGTTCCAATCTCGACCTTATACCTTCCAAAATGCATTTGTTAACAGATTCAACCATACCATTGGAGTCCGGATGATAAACGAAGGTGAATTGTAACTTGATCCCATAACTGGAACAGAAATCTTGGAATGAGGAGCAATTGAATTGAGTTCCATTATCGGCCACAATCTGATTCGGGATCCCATATCTGCAGATAATCGAGCTGAAAACAAAATCTTCGACCTTTTTGGAAGTAAGACTAGATAAAGGCCGAGCTTCAACCCACTTTGTAAAATAATCCACACCAACAACCAGATGGGTTACACCACCGACCCCTTTCATGAACAGGCCTAAAAGATCCAGTCCCCACTGAGCAAATGGCCATGGTGCTACCAAGTTCGTGAGCTCCTCTGTTGGTTGGTGAGTCAGATGTGCAAAGAATTGACATTTCGGGCATTTCTGAACAAAGTAAGTGGCATCTCTATGCATGTTTGGCCAGTAATATCCTTGCCTTAAGACTTTATGAGCCAGAGTCCTAGCACCGACATGACTTCCACAGACACCTTCGTGCACCTCGCGAAGTGCATATTCAGCTTCATAGGGATTCAAACACCGCAAAAGAGGAAGTGAGAAAGATCTCTTATATAGGACCCCATCAACGAGTGTATATCGAGATGCTTTCTTTCTCAACTTCATTGCCTCCTACCTATCCTCAAGTGCTATCCCATCTCGCAAAAAGGAGATGATTGAATCAGTCCAGCGCGGCACGTCAGGGTTTGTGCTAATCTCCATCACCCGAGGCTTCATGAAGCTTGGTTCATCTAGGACCTCGACAAAAACAGATCTGGAACTTAAAGAGCTGTTAGAGGCAAACTTGGAGAGCGAATCTGCCTGTTTATTCTCGGTTTGGGGGATTTTGCTCATACAGAATTTCTGGAATTTGCACTTCAGCTCGGCCACCAAGACTACATACTTCACCATCACAGGATCAAAAACTTCGCAGATTGAGTTGATTTGGTTTACCACCAACTGGGAGTCACTGTATACTTGAATTGCACTGATTTTCAACTCCAATGCTAGCTGTAGACCAAGTATCAAAGCTTCATACTCAGCCATGTTATTTGTCGCATCAAAGTTGAACTTTAGGGCATGTTCGCTTCGGTATCCGTCTAGACCAATCAAGAGAGCGCCAGCCCCTGAACCCTTGCTACTAGATGCTCCGTCAACATATAAGGTCCAGTCATTGGGCTCTGGATTAGAGGTTGAAGGACAGGAAGTACATTCGACAATAAAAGCTGCTAATGCTTGAGCTCGGATGGCCGATTTCTGCTGAAACGTTATCTCAAACTCCCCCAGTTCTACTGCCCACTTGATTAATCTTCCAGAGCACTCTGGTTTTTGCAAAATCTTCCTAAGAGGTTGATCTGTGAGAACGATAATTGGGTGTGACTGGAAATATGGCCTCAACTTTCTGGCCGAAGTGACAACTGTTAATGCTGCTTTCTCAGCTATAGGATACCTCAGCTCTGCCTCGTGCAATACACTGCTGATATAATAGATTGGTTTCTGCTACTTGGTTTCTTCTCTTACCAGAACCGAACTAATGGCTTCATCTGAAATTCCGAGATACAAATAAAGGATCTCTCCATCTATAGCCTTAGTCAGCAGAGGTGGCGAGCTAAGACAAGACTTCAGTTCATTGAATGCAGTTTGACATTCCTGATTCCATTCAAATTTCTTCTGTTTTCCTGATTCATCCTTCTGGGCGGCCGACCTCATAATCTTGAAGAATGGCAAGCACTTATCTGCTGACTTCGATATGAATCGATGAAGAGCTGCCACTCTTCCAGTCAACCTCTGTATATCTTTTACTGATTTCGGCGGTTCCATATCGACAATTGCTCTGATCTTCTCTAGATTGACCTCAATCCCTCTTCGAGACACCATGAAACCTAGAAACTTTCCGGACTCCACTCCGAAGATGCATTTGGCTGGGTTCAACCGCATCCTGTTCTTTCTGAGGTTGTTGAAGGTTTCGTCGAGATCAGCTAGATGGTCTTCTGCTTTCCGGCTCTTTACTACGATGTCGTCGACATACACCTCCAGATTCTTGCCAATCTGAGCTCGGAAGACGATGGTCACCATTTTCTGATAAGTAGCACCAGCTTTCTTTAAGCCAAATGGCATCATGACATAGCAATAAATTTAATCGCCAGCATAGAACGAGGTTTTCTCTTTGTCTTCGGGAGCCATCGGCACCTGGTGATATCCAGAATATGCGTCCAAGAGGCTTAACCTCTCATTGCCTGAAGCCGCTTCAACTAACTTGTCAATGCTCGGCATAGGATAGCAATCCTTGGGGCAGGCTTGGTTAAGATTTGTGTAAACAATGCACATTCACCATTTACCGTTTGCCTTCTTCACCAGGACTGGGTTAGCCACCCATTCGCAGTAATCAACTTTCCTAACGAAACCAGCTTGTAGAAGTTTCTCTACCTCTTCTTTAATAACCTGAAGCCTCTCCCCCCCGAAGAGACGTCGCTTTTGGGCCACTGGTTTCTTCAATGGATTGGTGCTAAGCTTGTGTTGGAATACTGATTTCGGAATTCTTGGCATATCGGCCGAAGTCCATGCGAATACATCATTATTAGCTCGGAGAAAGGTTATTAACTCTGCTCGTTCCTCTGGGTTCAATCTAGTTCCATTCTGCGTCTTTCGGCTTGGATCTTTGTCATCAATGAGCACCTCTTCAACATCTTCGACCGGAGCAGCTCTGGTTTCATCTTCCGGGCGATTATCGACGATCTCAACGCCCATAACTTGCTGATTATCAGAAATTGGTTGGGGAATGGCCTCGGGTGTCGGATCTTTGCCCTTCATAGGTTGTGTTACGGAGGTGATATAACAATGTCTGGCCACCTCCTGGTTTCCTCACAGTGTTGCTATTCCTGTAGGAGTCGGAAACTTCATATAGAGGTGAGACTGGGAAACCACAGCTCAGATTTCAGTTAGTGTGGGTCGGCCAATAACAATGTTGAAGGAGGACACCATTTTGACTCCGAGGAACCGGACTGAAGGAGTCATATAGGTCCTGCCACTCCCGAAAGCCACATGGAGGGTAAGAACTCCTTCTACCGGAACAGGCTGGTTGTTGAAGCCATAGATAGGACCATCATATTTTTGCAACAATGCTGGATCCAGTCCTAGACTCTCGAAACAGTGGAAGTACATGATGTCTGGTGCACTCCCAGTGTCAACAAGGACACGTTGTACTTCACAATTATTAATCATGACAGAAGTGACCAAAGGATCATTGTGGGGTGTAACAACTGTATCGAGATCAGCAGACGTGAAAGTAATGGGCTGATTTTTCCACTCAACATCGTCGGTCTTTCGCTTCTAAGCTCGGTTTTGATGTTTAATCTCTCTGACATACAGCTTTCGCTGCTTAGAGCTCAATCCACCTGCTTCAAGGCCTCCCGTAATCATGTGTATGATTCTGGCTGGGGGTGGGAACGGAGGTGGGGCTTGCTGACATCCCACACCTTGCCTATTTGGGGGATTGCGGACTCCTGGGGGCTGCGGCCTCTGTTCTCTGATAAACCTCAACTGTTCAGTTCTCTGAACATACTCATTTAGCATTCCCTTCTGAGCTAAACTTTCCAGTTCGGACTTTAAGCTGTTGCACTGCTCTGTAGTATGGCTGTGATCTTGATGAAAATCACAATATCTGGTGTGGTCTCAACTAGCAGCAGCAGTTTTCATTGGGCCAGGACGCCTTAAATCCATCTTATTCTTGATCTGCATAAAAATTTGTGACCTCGGTAAATTAAAGGGAGTCCAATTAACTGAAGGTTTACCTGCAGATTATTGCGGGGGTGTTGAGTTTGGCTTTTCGAATCTCGGTGGGGAGGTCAACATCGGACCTTGGTTCTGTGCCATCCTCATCCTTTTCCTGCTCGGATTGTCATCTCTCCAATCTGGGTGCTGGTTCTTAGTGGGAGGTGGGTTTTGCGCCAGGGCGTACTCCTCAGCAGTTATAAATTTCAGAGACCTATCGTTCACCTCGCTAAAAGTGGTGGCAGCATGTTTGATCAAACTGTCTCTGAACCTGTCATGCTTGAGACCGGAGATTACAGCTACAATTCCCACAGCTTGATCAAAGGAACTAACCTCTAAAACTGCATCACTAAACCTGCTCATATAATTCTTCAGAGATTCTCCATCCCTCCGTTTAACTCGCATCAGCTCAGAAGTAGTTTTCCTAATCAACCTTCTACTGGAAAACTTAGTGGCAAAGGCAGATTCCATCTCTGTATAAGAGCTAATCGACCTCGGAGGTAAACTATAATACCAAGTTCGGGCATTACCTCGGAGAGTAAAGGGGAAGATTTTGCACATTAATGCATCAGAGGCGTTCTGAGCTTGGTAGAAAGCATGCAAATGATCATCAGGATCCTTTGTCCCGTCATAAGTCTCCAGTTGTGGTATTTTGAAGCCAACAGGATAGGGTTCCAATGTAATGTTGGTATTCAGAGGGTGAGGTATGGAGTCAGCAGTATGGTGTGGGGGTGGAGCGCCTCGGTGTTCAGCTACTAGCTTTTCCAAGCTATCGAGGCGTCGAGTGACATCATCAGGGATGGGTTGTTGAGCAGGTGCGATGTGGGATTGACCCTGAGATTCACTAATAGCGAGAGCATGCTGAACCGGTTGAGGATTCTGTTGTGGGGCTGGGGGTTGTTGAGCAGGGTTCAGTAGATTAATGAGGGGGTCACCAGGATTGTTTCTGGCTAAAAGTTGAGCCAGTACCAACTGAAAAACACCGGACTGTTGTTGCATGGCAGCAAGCTGAGCTGCCACTACGTCTTGGTTGGCAGTTGAAGTGGAATTGTGAGCTGAGGCATGGAGTTGGTTTTCATCTCCTCCTTCAGCATGATCAACAGGA